CCAAGGTGCCGAGCGGCTACTACGACCTCTTGTACACGAGCCACGTCATGGAGCACATGCCGAACCCCATGCTCGCGCTGCGCCACTGGCTGCGGGTGCTGCGACCCGGCGGCCTCTGCGTGACGATGCTGCCCGACCCGTGCGAGCGCGGCCTCATGGACCGCGCGCGCCTCGCGCTGCCGGCGGCCCACTTCGTCGCCGAGTTCGAGAGCGGCGAGACGACCCAGCACTCGGTCCTCGACGACCACGGCCTGGAGATCGCGCTGTCCGCGACGCGGTACGCGGAGCTCGCGATCAACAACGGCCGCCGCGCCGACGCGCTCGCGGAGCTGCGCGGCGCCGAGGCCTACCTCGCGTCGACGACCTCCAACGGCTTCCAGGCGTCCGTGAACGTGCGCCTCAAGGCCGAGCACATGGTCAAGATGGCCAGGTTCGTCGCGAACGCGATCCCCGACTTCCCGCCGCTGAACGTGTCCCACGTGTCGCCGAAGCGCCTCCGGGACACGGTGGACTCGCTGCGCCAGGGGAACCAGGAGCTCGGCCACGTCCACGTCTGGTCCCACGCGACGCTCGTGGATTATCTTCTGGCGGCGGAGAAGGCCGTGCCCGACGACGCGCACTTCGTGGCTTTGGCGGCCGAGGTCTGCGGCATGCCCTACGGCCCGGCGCAGCCCCTCGACGACGCGCCGCACACGGAGTACCGCATCGTCCTCCAGCGCGCGATCCCGCGGCGCGAGGGCCCGCGGAGCGAGCCCGACGGATCCCGGGGGCCGCACGTCGACCTCGGCAAGCGGTGGATCGTCATGGCGGCGCTGTCGCGGCGCTACCAGGCGGGCCACGCGCGGGCCTGGCCCGTGCTCCTCCCCGCGCGGGACCACGCGGGCGGGAGCCCCGGGAGCCGCTTCCCGCCCGCGGATCTGGCGGACCTCTTCCCGAAGAAGCGCGCGGACGGGCGGCCCGCGCGCTGGGCGGACCCGCCGCCGCGGGGCCGCCAGCGCGGGCCCCTCGCGGGCATCCCGAACCCGATCCTCCCCGGCGGCGGGCTCCACCCGGCCTACGCGAAGCTCGACATCTCGCCGGTGGAGATCAGGGCAGGACAAGGGTGATTCAACGCCGCTTCAACGTGAGTGTTCCGCGCGCGCCCGTTCTAGAAAAAGCATCCACGCTTCGAGACCGTTCCGAGAGATGATCGCTCGTCCAAAAATCAGCCGAAACGAGTGGAAAACGGCCGAGATAGGAGCCTTTGAAGTTGGGAATTTCGCACTCTTGTCCTGCCCAGGTGGAGATGGAGGTCCTCGAGCACGCGGCGAAGATCGCCGCGACGCTCGGCGACGACGACGACGACGACGACATGATGGCGCCGCCGCCGGGCGCCGACGCGCCCTAGGCGCCCGCCGACCCTCCGTCCGGGGCTCGCTCGTACATGTTACTCCGCGCCGAACGGATCCGCGGCCCTGCCGAGGCCCGGCCCGGCGATGGACACGTGGTAGCGCAACGCGTCGTCGCAGGAGATGACGACGGCCTTGACGAGGATCCCCGCCGGCGAAGGTCGCCGCGAAGTCGACCTTGGACGGGTCCATCTCGCCCGGCGGCAGCGCGTCCTCGCGGCGCAGCGCGGCGCGCGCGGGGAAGTCGACGAGCGCGCCGTCCGCGGCGACGACGTCCAGGTTCACCTGCATGGCGCCGACGCGCGACACGGTCCCGACGACGACCGTGCCGACGCCGATGGCCGGCCGCGACCCGGCGCGCGCGACGCGCACGACGCCGTCGGCGCCGACGGTCAGGCTCCCGACGAGCGACGCGACGATGGCGCCGTCGCGCACGTAGGTGCCCGCGCCGCTGGTCTGCGTTGTCGTGGAGCCGACGACGTCGCCGGGCACGACGATGGGCGGAGCGGTGGCCATGGCAGCCATAATCGCGTTTCAAGGTTGGCTTCACTGAGCCTTCATTCGCCAATCTGTGGCAATGTGTGGCAAGTTAGGCCCAGCTAAGCTCTT